CAGATAGAGTTTAAGAGGGTTCTTTTATTTACTTGTGTAAAAAGGGCTTTAATCCAGCTAAAACTGTGGTAAAAATCAATACTGGCCTGTCTCAAACAATCCGTCCCAGCCTGAGCATCAGAGCATCTGTGCTCCCTCCTAAAAGCCCCCGCTCCCTCTGCCAGAGGATCCAAACACATCCCAACACTGACCCCACCTGGACGCCAACGTCCAAAAGACTCCAGCCTCTGCAGCAACACGACATTCCCATCGTTTCACACACAAACACAACAGAATAAACGAATAAATTAATTAATAAATGATTAAATAAGGATGTTAGAAGAGGGCAAAGGGGCCTAAATCTGGAGGCTCTGGCTCTGGACCCCCCTGGAGGCAGAGAGCATCTGCACCTTCGTGTTCCGCCCTCTCCGGCTCTTTTCCGGCTCTTTTCTCAGTGCAGCTGCTCCCACTTGAGCTGGATCACCACAACACAACACAACACAACACAACACAACACAACGCTCTGCTGGGAGCTGAACGCTCTTCCTGCTGTAAGCCAGGTTCAGAGTCAATCTTTGGCAGTTTACTCTGGAGGACTGAAACCGACGGTTTATCATAAAAACAGTCCATAAAACTATCAAATGATAAGATAATTTTCCACCTTATGTTTGCCTTCATTTTACCACATTTCAACTTATTTAGCCATGATAGTTCTATTTTTCTGTCTATTTTTCAATGTTTCAATAGCTTATATCCGTAAACATTTAAGCGGTTTGTTTAAATTTGACCATATTGTATTATATATTCTGCATTTTGATTTTTTTTAGTTAAGCTGAAGTCACAAAAACAAGTGCCCCCCCACTGATCAGACTTCAGCTAAAAGCCGACGGCACACAGGCGAGAGGAAAATGAAAATGGGACTCAGATCAATTTAAACCGGCTTCACAGGCGCCCCCGTCCTCCCGAGGTCTGATTTGTTTCAGAGCAGCATTCTGCTCTTATTTCTGCCACAGAAAAGAATAATCACAGAAATTCTGTCTTTTTAAATAACTGCAGAAAAACCAACAACAAGCTCGTATACCAAACCAAACGTAACCTTCTGGTTTCTTGTCCTTGTCCAAACCGTCTCTAACCTCCCAGAGCAGCATTCCTGTTTATTGTAAATTGTTTTGCACATAATTCCCTTCAATCCTTGTGAGTCACTTTGGATAAAAGCGCCTGCTGAATATAGACATGTAAAGTGTCCCCGTTCAGGCCTCCAGCTTCCATTAGGGGCTGGGGGGTCAGATCTGCGGGGGGGGGGGGCTTGCCGACAGGGGGACAAATCAAATCTGCATTCAGTACAGATCAGAACAGCAGTGATCTGCTCTCTACCCCAGCTTCTCTCCATGTTTCATTCATGATTCCTAAATTGGATCTAATTAAAGCCTCCAGTTCCATATTTTTTCCCCCATTCTGACAGCAAGATAATTGGAAATAAAGGCCCCCACAACCAGAACCAACGTTCACCTCTGGTAACATCTGTATTTTGGGCTTTTGAGCCCAGATGTAAAAAATGAGAATATTGATTCAAATTATTGAAAAAATTCAATAAACGGCAAACAAATGTAAAAACTCCCCATGTCTTTTTCACATGCAAACACGCAAACCAAACACTTGGAAGGCTAAAGTTTCACAATAGTTCATCAAACGGAGCTGCTCATAGCTTAAACCCCCCCCCCCCCCACTCGGCCTGGGATTGATCAACCAGAGGCCGGAAGGGGAATGAGGTCAAATTGTTTTCTTCCAAACTTCTTTCACAAACAATCCATTTTTCCCTCTTTGGAGGGAAACGTACTCAGTAACTCTGAGGCCGGTCCGGCTTTCAGGATGATTAAAGTCTGGAAACGGACTCTTCTGACAGCCAACTCCATCTGACTGGAATCTCAGCCCATGTTTCTACTCATTTGTAATCCCCCCCTGAGCTGCTGCCGTTTTCCGGACGTCAAACGGATGAGGGATATTTCACATCAGCAGATTCCTCTGAGATCAGAGCTCAGGCCCTCAGAAACCTGCAGTGAGGCCCTGCGGCCACTGGGGGGCGCCGCCGGACAGATGTTCAACTCAACCTTCAGTTTAGCAAAAACTGCCAAACGTCCCCCTATCTAAACTCTTTAAGAGTTGTTTTTAGACTCATTCCAGCATTTCGGTGATAACAGCTGGACAGATAAAGTTAGCTTTTCCGTTTTTATCCTCTTTAGTGCTTTATTCCACACAGGTAAATCAGTCTGGAGCTGTGGGCCTCGCGCACAGGGACCCTCATCTAAAGCAAACCCGGAAGTCCAGCCACCGATCTGCCCCGGAACGTGAAGGGGGCTCGTGCCCACGAGCGGAGTGGAAAGTGGGTCACCAGCGCGTGGAGACTGGGGGGGCGGGAGGGTCTGGCGCGCGTGCCTCCCGCCGCGGGCTGAGCGCGCGCCGCTGGGTGCGCGCGGCAGCCAATGGCTGCGCACCGGATGCGAGATATCCGCTGCAACAACACACACACACACACACACACACACACACACACACACACACACA